GACGTCGGAGGGGAGGCTGAAGGTAGAAAGAATCGCCTCCCGATTGCCAAAATGTGGGGACGTCGGAGGGGAGGCTGAAGGTAGAAAGAATCGCCAAGCCTTCGGCTGCAGTACAGTTTGAAATGAAAAGCCTAGATGATTGGAAAAGGGGCCCAATCAAACTCGAAAGATCCGCGAAATCTATCTAGGTAGAACCTGTGATCTTCATTGCAAAAGAGGTACAGCACTCGATGGGCTAGGGTGGCCAAAAGCTTGACCAACCCCTACCTACCCTTTTTCCCCCGAACAGAACGAACGGTCATTTCTGCTGCGTCTGGACTAAAAGGCGAGCCAAATATGGCTATAATGGCCTTATCACGTTCTATTTGGGGGAAGACGGAAAGACACTCTGAATACAACTGAGCATATCGCAGACCCCCGAATCTATTGAAGACCTGTCTATGAAAACCGGATTCAGCGAATGGACTAAAAAACTACCGAGGTACCGATCGATCCAAGTTCCCTGACGGTGGTAGGAAACTTTTTTTTTTTGGTTTTTTTTGGTAGGAAACTATTGAACACCTGCAAATGAGCATATCTCGCAGACCCCGAGTCTATTGAAAACCTATCAATCAACCGGATTCAGCGAATCGATTGAAACACTACCGTCTTCCGCCGAACATAACGCACCCTAAAAATGACTGTATACAAGCTATATTTCCGCCCAGATACAGCCAAAATAAGGGTGCGTTGTGTTCGGGGGAAGACTGTACGTACCGATCAAATTCCGCGAATCGAATTGGATATCGCCCGAACACAGATCGTATTGAAAAATACATGGAAGTGATCATCATCTATGTATCGATGGATTTCAGCCACGCCATCTCCACACAGCCTGGAGTCATCAAGGAGACAGCGGGAAAAACTACGGCAGACAGGTCTCGGAAAGCGATAGGGTAACTCCGATCCCGAGGGTATTCGTTATAAGACTCCAAATCCTGAGCAACAGTCATTGTTCGTTCTTTCATATCGACGATGACGATGATGGACTCCCCTGCAGATCGGAATTGAAGTTTCAGTGGAAACCCTGTCCCCTCAGCCGCATGCCAACACTTGCCGTGTGATCCGTACAACCACCTCCCAGTGTGCTCCTTGTCGTACCAAGAGAGCGGGTGGGTGTCGACCGTCTTGTCCGCTACCCCGACCCAAGTCGCATCACAGTAAGAAACGATAGTCAATTTCCAGAAGTGTCGTCCCGATCCCAATGGCACCGGCAATCTCGCGATTTGATGAGTACCGCTGGTGCAGCACACGCGGCACCGGAACGACGATGGCGATGGCGATGGCGATGGCGATGGCAATGGCAATGGCGATGGCGATGGCGATGGCGGACTCCTCAGGATCGTCGCGATCATCTCATTCCCGGAGACGAATCGAAACATAGTCTCAACGAGAAGGGTCACGTCCGCAGGTGGCCCTATCTTCTCCATAGCCTTGGATCGATACCCGTCAAGAAACCATCTCTCCGGGAAAATGCCGAGAGGTTCCATCGTGTCCACCATGAAGGCCGTGCTAATGGAGTTAATACGGATGTGGCGACCGAAGATGGCGATCAATTGTTCCAACTCGTCATTATCCTTCTCCTCTTCCTTTCCGTCCTTCTCCTGCTCCTTCTCCTGCTCCTTCTCCTGCTCCTTCTCCTGCTCCTCCTCGCTCTTCGTCTTCGCAGTTGGAGAGGAGAAGGCGGATAGACGGGACAGAGTTGCGATGCCGCCACCACTGCGGACTGCCGCGGCTGCTAAGACCGACTCAGCTACCAGCGTTTCGGATATGGCGTCTGGGATCCCGGCCCCGCCGCTCCTCTGCTTCAGCGTCTGCGAGTGCTCCAGACAGAAATCCACAGCCGCCATGTTCCACCCCTCAAAGGTGCTGTTAGCGAAGTTRACTTTCTTGTCAAACACACTCACGAGTAGCGTGGATACCGCCTCCGCCTTCCTGCTGATCGACAGGATCAACCATTCTCCCACCTGCCGCGCCGTGGAGACGGCGGCGGGGACGAAATGCAAGACTAGCTGGCACAGCCCTTGGATAGTATACTGCTCCGCCAGGCAGTATATATCCAGCATGTCCTCCGCACAAGCCGTCGGTGTCAGCGGAATTCCGTGCAGAAAGTCGAAAACGGTTTCCAACGTCTCGGCTCTGACGGCGGGAAGGCGTACCAGGGACGAGCAKCTCTCAAGCATGCCGCCGTACAGAAGCTTGCAGAAGTACTCGCTCCTCGCCGCCAAAACGGCTCGATTGGCGCGCACCTCTTTCCCGCCATCGCAGACGAAAATCACGTCCGCAAAACGCTCATCCACGCGCATGCGCCTGATATCCGCGGCCATGTCTTCCAGCTGCTGCTGAAGACTGCCTTCAGGAATTGGCGGGAATGAGATGGCACTTCGCGGCAACGTCATCGCGGGCGTCGAGAAAGACGGGAGAGAAGAGATACGGACGACGGACGGGCCGGGTTTTCATCGACCATCGCACGACAACCTGGCACTTAGCCACGTTGACGGCGCATATGCTTCGCAGATGCTTCGCCAACCCGCCATTATACAGAGCTGGCGTGTTGTGCATTCATTGACCAATCACGGGACAAGCTTGCACTTAGCCACGTGGACGGGGCAATAACGTCGCACTTAGCCACGTGGACGGGGCAATTACTGCCGCCACGCCGCGATTCTGTTGAGGTGGAGTGCTGCCCATACTCGTAGCGCTCGTCTAATTTGTATTTCTGCACTGCGACATCGGCAGGTCATAAGATTTGTTCCCTTCCAAGATCCTTTGTCGGTTGCCTGCTCGAATGCCAGCTTCCAGTACAACTACCTATCTTTGTCGGTTGCCTCCTCGAATGCCAGCTTCCAGTACAACTACCTAAGTGCCCCCCGTGCGGGCGGTTAACAAATGCAGTGGGTGACCTCACACTGCATTTCTTTTTTCTTTTTTCTTTTTTTCTTTTTTTATTGGTAAAATTTGCA